AAAAGAAACAGGAAAGGTGTCAAAAGTAAGTAATAGCGATTGGGTAATCAGGCTTATTGGTTAACTGAGTTCTCTGTAAGCTGTCATGTATGAAATGATCTGTGAAGGAGGTAGAACTATGACAAATCGTGTGGTAAGATGGCTGGAATACACAAAAAAAAATGAAAAATAATCATACTTCAATGTCATTGATGGCACAGAGGTAGAATGCTTGATGACCACGAATGTTGTCCAGAGTTTGATTCCCAGCCGACGCAATTCTTTGCCTCACTAAGTCATTAATAAGACTGGTAGAGAGGGGAGGTTGGACATGGGGCTAGCTATCATGTCCGGTCGAAATCAACACTAATGCTACTGAAACTTCAAGTTACAACACTGACATTTTGAATTTCAATTAGATGTTGAAAATGTGTTTTTTTTATCGCCTTTGTTCTGCATTTCTATATACGTTAAACGACACTGTGTGTATTGTTTTAGTTGCGTGTTCCGTTGAAATTGTTTAGCGAAACAGTAAAATGCTGACCAGTCGGATGAAAAAATCGAAAGTCCAGTGTTCGTTGCCCGATGACATGAAAAAGTTTCATTACCAAAACGTTAAACTTTTATATTAAGTGACTGAAACTATGTCATTTTCGAGGTTACTTGTTTGGGATGACTGAGAGTGGAATCCAGGACGCATATTTCATCCAGTTTCAGACCCATTACTAGGCGTTCCTGCTCTTTAGTGAGTGGAGGTGTTCCCACCACCGTGACGTCTAACCATCACACATCACTTCAGCCACCTGATCTTCATCTACTAGTTCAAAGTACCTTAAGACCCATCTCTTTTACAACGATATAAGAATAGAACTTGGCCTTTTGTGGTACAGCATAATTCCATTGTGGATAAAATTTATTTTGATGAAGTTTCATGGTGTTATACAGTAATATGTACTTATGTATTTTTGAACACAGACAGTCGCTTCTCATAATCATACTAAGTTACTCAAACAACTTTCCTGCTTCGTTAATATGATTCCATTATTTTTAATCGCTTTGATTTCCAGTCATCTCAACCTATGTCAGTTAAAATATAACTGGAAAAATGTTTAAGTACTAGGGCACAAAAACTAAGTAGTACCAAAGAAAACCTAAGTCAGGAAGTAAGGCATCTAAGAGAAGCTTTGAAAATTAAAAATTACCCTGATATACAAATCAGGAAGTATGTAGAAAAATGTAGAAATAAGATTAAGAATGTGTGAGTCGGTGGCACTACGGTAGAATGCTGGTCAACCAGGTGGTGCAGAGTTCGATTCCAGGCCGACGCACTCCTTCGCCTCGCCAAGCCAGTAATAGGACTGGTAAAGGCGGGAGGTCGTGCTTGAGGCTAGCAACCCCATCCCGTAAACGTAAACACCACGTCTACTGAAAGTTGGAGCTTCTAGCTTGAAGTAGCCCTATGATTCACTGTGACCGCAAAGGAAGATTAATAATAATAGTAGTAATGGTGATAATAATAATAATACTAGTGACGACATTCACATCAAACATGCACAGAATGACGACAACAGAAACAATAGGGAATGTAAATTACCAGTAGTACTTCCATACAAAGAAGGAACTTCGGAAACACTACGGAGAATTCTTAACAGTTCAGGAACAAAAGTGGCTGGCATTCAAACTCAAAAACGTAGCTAGAAGCAAGCTTTGTCAGTTAACGGATCCTGTGAAGCTAATTAAACAAAACGATTTAGTTTATCTATTACCCTGCCTGCAATGGCTGTCAGGTGAATTACACAGGTCAAAGAAGCAGAACTGGGTCAGTTAAACCAGCGGACCATAAATACTTGGATAAATCTAGATTAGTCGACCCGGATATGATAAGAATTACTAGCACTAGATGTAGCTACACACAACCATACCAGAGAATGGGATAAGATATAACGGCGTGGAGGGAGAGATTGATAAAAGAAGCCTGGTTTATCGAACAGGAATGCTTCACCACCTGTCCACCCAGACAATTTGTCAGAATATCACGTTAAGGGAATTAACGAATTATTTCGGTTAATTGGCGAAACTTTTCAATGTATTATTCTAAATGTTGTAAATCACTGTGCTACTGAGCCGGTTTAGGTAAATCCTTATTTTTCGTTTATTGCTATAAGATAATCTAATATAGTTTTAGTGAATTCTAAGGGGCACTTGTTATTACTGGTCGAAAGGTTGACCTAGAAACCCGAAACCCTTGTGTTTTGTTACCAGTAGGCACATTGGTGCTTGCAGCTGAAGATTCCGGAAGTAAGTCAAAAAAGCCCTACTGCATTCCTACATTTTCCGTTGTTATCTAACTTATTTGACTTCACAATAATTCGAAAACGTCTTTCTTCTCTAATCAACATATAGTCGACTTCAAAGTTGATTTCGTTACCGCTTTATTCAAAATCCATTAATAAGGAGGGAGTATTGCTCAGCTATTTGGTCCTTGTTTGCGACTGTTTTGTAGTACGCACTCATGTCTTAACTAGTTGGTCAAACATAGGATCTTCAGGCAGCAAGTCTAGCTCATTGATTACTCAGTCAAATCAACACTTGGAAATTGATCTGATACTCACTAGGGACTCAATGGTAGGTGAGGTTTCTTAGAGTTTTAGTGAGAGATCGGGATCTTTGGGAGCCACCAAGTTAGGTATTAAGAAAAAAAATCAACAATAATATAGATTGGTTATTGGGCTATATATCAAGAATTGACAGAGGTTACAATTCATGTGCGTGGGTGGTTCAGCCGTAGAATGCTCGCCAAACATGCATGTCATCCGCGAGTCGGTCATTGGCCGACGCATTCCTAAAGGTCGCTAAGCCTTCATTAAAGCCAGTAATGAAGGAAGGTTGGGTGTGAGGCTAGCAAATCCATCTCCTAAAAATAAACACCACAGCTACCATTACTTCAAAGCTCTAGCTTGAAGTAGCCCTATGTTCCACTGAGGAAGTAAAGGAACAAAATAGAAAAAAAATAAACAGTTCATAAGCTGAATAGTACACGAGCATACCTCGTAAACTGAAGGTATTAGGTTCGATCCGAGGTGATGTCATGGGCAAAGAAATGCTAGTGAGTCAGTGACCGTCAATGCGACTATCCACTGGGTCCTGAGTTATCAGATTTCTTCTTGAATAATGTCAAGAACGGTCTTTTGAAAAACCCTATCATAAAATTCTCATTTTATTTCCCTTATATGGATATTACATTCATTCTTTGTGAACATGATTTGCACAGAAATGTGATAACGCCTTAATTCGATGGAGAGTATTCAGCTTTTAAATTCACGGGTGGAAAAGAATGCCAACTAACAAGTACACCAGACATTAGCATAAAAAGGAATTTACATATGAAATGTACCTGGACCGGTCGATATATACACATTTTCAGAGCTTTCTTATTCAGTATAAAAAAAGTTGCTAAAAGCCTACAGCTATAACGTCAGAGTTATTTTTATTCAGAAGATACGAACTTAAAGATGTATGCTGCACATTAATTCAAAGCAGCTGCCTGAAAAGGTCATCACCAAAAACACACTGCTGAGAGAATAGAGAAGAATTCTTCTGTCTGTTGACATATATATATATATCATTAGAATTCAAACGCTATATACCAAGTGAAATAATAACTTGCAAGTTGAGAAAATCTATTTAAACAACGTTTATTTACCACTGAGAGATAAAACACTTAGACTTCCCAGCCACCTTCAGATGTATCTGTTACTTCATCTGCTCCTGTGTAGCTACAGTTACACTGGTCACTGCTCTAGGCACTTAAATTCTCGTGCACTGGAATTCCTACCAGTTTGCTTCAGTTGAAGGTGTTTATAAAATCGTCAAAAGTTCTCTATTGGACCTCCTTGTCCAAACTGGTAGCAGGGCTAAAAATTGAACAATATTTCTCTATGATGTATCCGATATCGAATAAATTATTAAACGCCTCTAGATGCCGAAAACACTGTAAACAACACAAGCCAATTGCAAGTTGCTTAAATCAGCTGAAGCTTTTCATTGAAAAGAAACAGGTCCAGGCAACTATGTTATACCTTGGCCCTGCTGCTTGACCTACAAATTCATAAATTCTCTATTACTCCGCTTAATTTGTCAAATATTCACTCAGTTCACTGTTGTTCTTGTTTAATAACTACTTCCATATAAATGTAGAATCTGTCAGTTATGGTTTATTGAAAAGAATATATTCAAGGGTTGGTATGTAAGGATTAGATTTAAGTTTTACAAGTTGATCACGCATTGATATCAGTTAGAAAATTCTTGAAAACCTTCAAGGAACACTGGACACCTGTTTCATTCCACTTTGAGAATTATCAGCAGTATGCATACACGGCAAGTGTTAGGACACAAGACATCGCGGTTACAAGGAAAGTTAGCTCATATACCATTCAGTCACTGGGACACTATTCAATGGCCGATCCCTGAATTCGAACTTCTACCAATCCCTGAATTAGCGCAACCACCAACCAATGTCATAGGCGGGAAATCCATTCTCACACTTGAATGGATGGAACTCATTGGTCACAACTTCTAAACAGAACTCCAGGAAACTCCGTCCTGTAGCAAGTCACTAGCAAGCATCAGACCTATAATTTTAAAGAGTTGCTTCGTAAGGATTAGATTAGTTTTTTTCGTGTTTGACCATGGATTGACAGTCACGAACTGGTAGAAGTTAGAATTAATGGGTTGGCCATTGAATCGGGTCCCATTGGTTGAATGGTATGCGAGTCAGCTTGCATTGTAAACGGAATGTCTTGGGTTCGAACCCTGGCGGTGGGTGTGAATTGCCGATAATTCCCAAACTAGGATGTAACAGCTATTCAGTACTCCCTGCAGGTTTTCAAAGGTTCTCTAACTGATATGAATCCATGGTCAAATTCGAAAAGCACATTCTTTGTTCACATTAATGAGTGTTTTTTAAACATATATATATATATATATATATATATATATATATATATATATATATTGCTTACCGTATTATCAATAGAGCTATTATGTGCTCTTTTTAATAGCATATTCTCCATAGCTTTGGCATCAAGATTAATTGATTGTCTTACTCGACTTCTTAACCGATTCGATAGATTCATTTCAATTTGTTCAATACGCTTTACACTGAATTTTGTATTCTTCAACAATGGTAACGAATATATAGACAGGTAGAACATATACCGAAAATTTGGTAAATAGATTAAAAATATTGGAAAATGACATGAATAAATAATTGCATCGAACGAACTAAACAACTTTGATAAATGTACTAAACGTTTAGCATACAGTGGATAGATTGTAGCATAATTTTCAAAATCTGATTTCTGTCGTAGAATAATCACAACTACAAGTGGTATAGAGAAAAATAAGAAGACATATGTGACTAGCAAATGACCAATAATACGTCGCACTTCATTTTGTGCATTTTGACAATAGCCTTGTTGATTTCGTGTACTACTCATCGACTGACGTGGTGTTGAACTATTCACACAATTTGATGGAGCATTAGTATTCGCAACAGCAATTATCGTATTGACACTATTTCTTGGCGTATTATCAACAATTTTATTGATTGTAACTGTTGTCGCACTACCTTTACGCTGATTACCATTCGAGTAGACAGTAGTTTTGATGTGAAAATTTTGACTACCACTGCAATGCAATGATTGTCTAGTTTTAGCTAGTGTACGTAGACGGAGAACAATTAAACAGTTTATTATAGCTATACAACTCGTCGGTAGAATATGTCCACCGACAATAGATAAATACAAACTGTACTGAACACCGAAATGCGAAGAATTCACATACTGGCATGTATGATTAGCTATTGACGAAGTACTATCATTATAGGTTAAATCGGAATATATCAATTGAGGTAGAAATAATAGCACACATATACATATAACGAAGATGATTGATAAACGTGGCAATAACAAGCACATATCACCACGAAATTTGATCGGTTTGTATACGGTTAGTAAACGATCTATACTGAATATCACTAACAAGGCTCCAGATATTAATCCTGCTGTCTTTGGTACATAATTCATTATTTTACAGGTGAATGATGACAATGTGTCAAGTTTGATAAATATAGTACAATCACTTGCCCAGGTTAAACCACGGCCAAGAAAATCATCCAACAGGGTATTCATAATTAAATCGATAATTTGAAATGCTGTAATCCATATTACATATATATTGAAACGAGATGGTTGTAACTTTTGCATTGAATTGAATGTATTGATAACAAAACTATTGCCTATAATCCCGATGACAATGAGTATTGGAATGATATATGCTCGAAAATTTAACATGACTATCTCTTCGAGTAGGAATTCCCTTGAGGTGTTTTGTACACATGGCATTATTGATATAGATGATGATTATGATGTTTGGGTGCTTATATACCAGTCTAGTTAATCAGTCTTTATGCTTTTATGGGGGTTTTATTGTGATAGTGATGAATTCCTGAGACGGATTCGATAAAGAACAATATTCATGAAACAATTTATGTTTAATTTTATCATATGTTATAATGACAAAAAGAGAAATGCAGATTCTTATTCTGCATCTGTCTATATGATATGATACTTTTATTTCGTGGATTGTGATTGGCTAATGGCAGACAGAGACATTGAATAATTTAGGCCAATCAAAATGCAGTATAAACTTTTTCATAAAATATCAATTGGAATTTTTGATGAAAAGCGTAAGGTTAGTCTGCTTAATTAAAATTTGAGCTGCCAAATACCTTCATCAATGTACATGTTGCATATAACTTTCCCTGTTCAGTTTGTTTGAATCTGGTAAAATATGACCTTTAATAGGACTATTTACTCTAGCGAGTGTTTGAAATATTTACAAATCTGGTCCTCGCTAGTGACTTGCTACAGGACCGAGTTTCCCGGCTTTCTAATCCGAAGTCCAGACCATTTAGGTCCATTCAATCAAGCGTGAGAATGGATTTCCCACCGGTGACATTCGTAAGTGGTCGCGCTGAATCAGGAATTGGCAAGAGTCAGAATTCATGGACTGGCCATTGAATCGGATCCCAGTGGCTGAATGGTATACAAGCTAGCTTTCCTCGCAAACGGAAGGTTTTCGGGTTCAAACACTAGCGGCGGGTGTGTACTCTCGTTTATTCTCAAACTAGGATGAAACATCTGTTCAGTACTTCAGTACGGGTTTTCAATAGTTCTCTAACTGATATCAATCAGTGATCAACTAGTAAAAAACAAATCTAATCCTTACATACCAACTCTTGAAAATTTACAATCTGTTGACTAGTGTGTTTCTATTATACTTGAGAAAATGTGTCAACTTGGGTGCTAGCTTGTGCCAATAAATGATATAACTGTTCCTGGTTTGTGTCCTTGGTTGACAAAATGTACTCCCGAACGTTTTATAATTGACATTCAATCAAACGTTATAGATTTCTCCAATGAGAATTAGAGGAGATATCGTAGTGGTTTGTACTTCAGGTCATATGGAACTGTGCTGAATGATCTACTGTTAATTTTAACTTTATTTGAAGACCATGGGTGAGGAGAAAATATGATATAATCCACTCCGATGAATATTCTGTACATTGAGTAAACACTGTTGGTGGTATAGCGGTTACGACGCTCGCCGACCATGCACATAGTCCGGGGTTCGATCCCCAACCGACGAACTCCTTTACCTTTCTGAGCCAGAAATAATGCTGGTAAAGAGGAAAGGTTGGGCATGAGGCTAGCAACCTCATCCTGTAAAATTAGACACTGCTACAGACACTTCAAGCCAATAGCTTGAGGCCCTATGTTCCAGTGGGTAACGTGAAGGAAAAAAAATGAAAAAGGGGGTTATTATTATTAACTTATCTTTCTATACACGTTGTTTTCGCCATCTATACAAAACATTATTGGTATTAAACATGTCATGGGCCCGGTAAAAATTTCATATTATGGAAATTTCTACATCGACACACAGCTCCACTAGTTAACATTAGAATATTTTTCTATATTAGATGTATAATAAGTAGAAGTGACATTCAACTGATTTGAATCCGTGATCATCACCTAAACAAATGGAATCCGCGACAAACTAACCCTTGAAAATTATTCTAGTATTTGTCAGTGACTTACTGAAGGATGAAGTTGCCAAGAGTTCTCGTGTGTTGTGACCAGTGGAAATCACCGGATGGTGGGGGTGTATGGGGACAGTTACTCTCCGATGACACTAGCTGGTGGCCGCGCAAAGACTGCTAATTCTAGACATTAGGATTCATGGAGTGGTCATTGGAACTCATCCCACTGGCTGAAACAGTTTGCTTCATGACATTAAGGTCCTTGGTTCTATTCTTTTGCGTGCGCACTGTTCAGGTGACCTAAACTAGGACGTAACGGAATCCACTGCTCTGTGTTTTCGATGTCTATCTAAATTACATCAATCTGTAATTAAACTTGAAGCAATATTTGAAAAATAAACTGAATTGTTGGTTCAGTTGTAGTAGAAATCCCTCCTGTTTCTCGGCTAACACATTTTTTAAATCTCCCTTAGGCAGTCGCAAGCTCGATAAAGGGAACCTTAGGCTGCTGAAACTTCAAAGGTGAGGCTTGAAGCTATATGCCATAATCAGAACTCAGAGAGATGAATAGAAGAATCGAAATTCATCATGAGCTAACATTGGCTAGGGAACCGTTGGAAAGTCTAGGAGTATCTGACAGCTGTTTTGTACTATTTCGGGACTCTTGAGCAGTAATCAGTCACCAGGGTTCAAACCCAGTACTCTCTGGTTACAAGTTGACCTCGAAGATCACCGGGACCCTATCCAACGACCAGCCTATGAATTCTAACTTCTGCCATTTCAGTATATAGCTAATGTCATTAGCGAGTAATCGTTCCCACAGTCGACCTACCATACCACACCGGTCTTAGATTTTTCAATGGTTCCCTAACCGATATCAGCTCATGATAGAGTCTTGTGACCAATGAAATTCCTGCAAAGCGACACTTAAACTGGAATTTAGTTTGCCAATTATAATCACCTGGGAGACAGGTAAAGGAGAAAAATCAATATTAGAGAAGTCTTGCCCTTGTAAACGTATGTTTACGGTGTGCGACTCTAAACGCTCAATGTAAAGAATAACATGTGAGGAGAAGCAGTGACAATTTTAGGCTAATGATGAAGAGAATAGCGGAAAACGGTTGCAGTATTAAGAGGAACCTCATAATCACCAGACAAATACGATCAAAAAACGTATAGTATTAAACGAAAGCTCATTAGCTTTTATGTGTCCGTTGTATCTTCTGGCAATAAACACTGACTCCACTCTCATCATCCTTATTGTCCCCAGGGTTACTAAACAAATGTATGAATGATTGATCTGAACTAAAGCTGCCTATTCTAGAAAGTCGAAAAAAACGAATCACTCAAGAGTGTCTTCAATGAATTTAAAAGTGTACAATCATATATATAATAGTTCATAAAGTGTGTAAATCTTAAAGGGGTGTAGAAACCATAAGATAAGTAGGCAATTAGATCATTACACTGTGTGTCGGCGGCTTACAGGTAGAATGCTGGGCAACCACGCATGTGGTCCAGGGTTCGACCACCGGCCGACGTACTACCTTACCTCGCTACAGCTGTAAGAAGACTGGTAAGGAGGGAAGATTGGGCATGAAGCTAGGAATACCATCCCATAAAATATAATTACTGTCACCGAAACTTCATAACTGTAGCTTGAAACTCTATCTTCCAGTAGGAACGTAAAGGAATAGAAAAACAACGAAAAAATTTTACGCAACCAAATATTAACTACCTCATGATGCCACCGCTAAACATCTTATTGAATGAAATAAGTATTGGTAACAAGTGGGGTTTTACCAGAAATTGTTCACAGTGAAACTACTACTAATAATAATAAAAACTGGGTCAAAGTATGACTGCGGATTATCATACGTTAGTATAGACGGATTAAGACCATGTAAGAAGGAAACAATGAACAAACCTATTTTATAAAACGTGCGACTTTTCTAGGTCACTGGTCAAAGCTTCAGCAATACAGACAAGGGGGATACTCAGTGATTTGAGCAGGCTCTTTTTTGCTTTGTAAATAACTTTAAAGGAAAGGAATGTGGAAACTCAATGACTAGTATTGACCAGATTTTCATTTACTGAGCTTATCATAGCCACACTTCCACTCCTATGTAACCACACAGGATAGTGTTTTTGCAACCTCGACATTCTTAGCTTCACAACAACAGGGGAATCGATAAACCCACACAGAACTGGTCAACTGCGGGATTTTGTCTTTCGGGTAATTAAACACTAATGCTTGGATGAAAAATGCTATTCTCAATGATGCTGCAGGGGTGGGATTCCTTTACAGGGACTGTGAAATCGCTATTTTAGGGGTTTCGGCAGCCAGGTAATCTTTGAACGCAAAGTTCTCTTGAAGCCAGTGGAACTGTGCGTCGGTGGCTTAGTGGTTAGGACTCTCGCCGACCATGCACATGGTCCGAGGTCCGATCCCCTGCCGACGCGCACCTGATATCTATGGTCGGCCTGCAAAATTTGGGCTACCGATATCCATGCTGAAAATTCCATACTTGTACCAAAAATACAGTGTGGAATCAAGCTGTAAATCAAAAATTTAAAAAAAATATATCGGCGATGATGTCTATTTGAAAAAATATTTTTAGAACCATTCTGGAGCGAGGAATAACAGAAAATACAGTTAATAATTCAGTTTTACATTGTGTAAGACGAAATACTACTAATTGGTTGAAATAAGTAATTGTATGCCTTTCGCGTCAGTCAGTAGTGCTTACTAGCCAGATCAGAGTGATGGAATTTTCACTCATTTGCACTACTGTCTTTTATGTGTACAGGCTTCCTTTACTGATTATAAAGGTGATCACATATTGTGATCTGAGTAGTTTTGGTTTATCAAGGAAACTATGGTGAAATAATCACTGCGAGTTATATAAGCTACAAATTTAATTGCACATTCAGAATCTGATTTATGGCTTTTATATTTAAAAGCACACACTGAAGTGGCCCATTCAAAGCAGCAGTTTATCCTTCACATATCCACTGATCATTTGTCGGCTGTAGAAACTGATCCGTACCTCAGTTGCAAGGAAGGCTTTTCTCAGTAATGGATGGATAGATGGCTCTTTTTAGGATCTAAGCAGCTGTATCACCTTTAAATTCAACGTTCATGAATAGCAGTTTCTTCAGTATCACCTTTGCTTCACTTTCATGTTTTTCTACATGGATCCTGGAGGATATCCATTTTACATGAGGACTTACTTTAATCCCTGTAGTTCACCATCGATTGTATCACCGCTACATACCCTTCTTATTCTTGAGAATAAGGAGTGCATCGGATTTTTTTTCATCTCAAAGGGACCGAGATAGAAAAATTTGTGTACTGACCATTCCATGTTGGTTTCATGTTAATTGATCCTTGAAGAGAACCATCGTATCTGTATTTTTAACAAAACATCCAAAAAATAGAATTTTCGGTTCATCTCTGATTCTGGCGTGAACAGGATGGTGTGATGGCAGTTGATGAACTCGCTAGGGATTCGTCAATACAATCCCATA